TACGTGCCTTGCCAGTGTGGACGGGGAGTGAGTTAGGGCGCCCAGGGCTGCTTTATTGTGCTGTAACTTGCAAGTGTAGCCAAGGCCTTAGTGAAAGTAGTTTCAGTGGAGTGGAGAGGGTGGAAACTGTATTGAATGGGGTCAATAATGTAGCTGGAAGATTGGAACTTAAGGCAGCAATTGTAGATGGTACATCCAATAAGCTTGGTGAAGAAGGGGAGAATAGATATATGGCAGTACATGGAGAGGCAGGAGGGGTCAAGATTGGGTTGAATGGAGGACAGGTAGTATGATTTTGAAAGAAAATGGATGACATACCTAAGATATATACAAGAAACAACAGTAGAGTTGTAGGTTGCCAAAATGTGTACATTCAAAATGAGAAATAAGATAAAGAAACATAATAGTTAAAGACCATGGGATAGAGAGTTTGTTTTCTATTCTCTCTTTAGTGGGATTCCTACATATTAAACTGTTATTGCTACATGATAGGTGGAACTTGTAGTGACACCTATACTTAATGTTGCCAGACACTTCCCATTACTTATTTAAATTACTGTTTAAGTTACTTATAACTTTGCCAAACTTTAACCATTTGGGCTGAAATTTTCCATGCCAGTGTCTACCTCAGGTTGAATTTTTGGGGAAATTTCAGCTAAAATGGTTCAGTTGTTTCTGTAAACAAGGGCAGGGAAAAACTGGTTGTTTTGCCATGTTATTATTTATTTTTTTTAACAACAATTTCATTGAGAATCTCTAGCATCTCAATGCTACATATCAAATGAGGAGGACAAAAAGAACTGTTGAATAACTTTGTTGTTGTTGTCCTTTATGATCGAAGATAACATTGATGATGGTATTATCTCTTGTGAGTACAATTGTGGCTAAAAATCCGATGCGTGGGTGGCTGTCCTTTCCACACTGAGTGCATATGTAGCTCGATACCGAGGAAGGGATTACAGACTATGCCCACGGAATCTTATGCTGTTTACGACTCAGCCTTTGTGCCTCAAGAGCCATATGGTAATTAATCTCGAACTAACTCCATCACTGACTGCTGCTTGCCAGAGTGATCTGTCTGTTGCTGACAACTCCCAGCTGTCAACGTCAATGTTGCATTGCTTCAAGTTATGCTTCAGTGTGTCCTTGAAGTGTTTCTTCTGGTCGCCTTGTGTGCAGTTACCCACTTTCAGTTCACCATACAGCAACTGCTTTGGCATTCTGGTGTCATCCATCCTCAACACATGACCAGCCCAACGTAACTGATGTGATGAGCAATCCTTGTAGAATGGCTGCGTTCCAGAACCTTGTTATTGCTAACTTTAACCTGCCATTTGATGTGGAGTATGGCACACAGATGTTGTAAATGGAACTTATCTAGAAGCTTGATGTGATGCCTGTAGCAGGTCCAGGTTTCACACTCATACAACAAATTGGATAGCACAACCGCTTTATAAACTTTTAGCTCGGTTTGAAGCCTAATACAATGTTGTTGCCAGACTTTGCCTGATAGTCTGCCAAATGATGACATGACTTTGTTATGATTTGTTCATTGAATGAGGCAGAGGCCCTGTCAAAAAACTAGTACGTAATCATGTCATCAGACTGTATCATAATGCACATGCACATGAGGGCCAAACTAACATTGCACTGGCAACCTTAATTCAGGCATTTTCTAACTTTTGAGTGCTCAATTTTGCAACATTAACGTTCTTTTAACCTAGTTTTTTTGGATGTAACACGATCTACGTGATACTATATATACACACCGTACAGAAAGAAAAAGAGACAGATATATACTATGCTGGCATTGGCTGAATTGGGATTTGCACTGAAGCTAAGCATTTCTCATTAGTGTTATCTTCAAACAGAGGTTTCTGAAAGGAACTATTGAGCCACATTTTTTGAATTACATCAGTGAAAATCTGTAGGAACTCCACTGAAGCCAACAGATTTATATTCGTGTAACAGATCATTTGCACCACTGTCTCTCCCAATTACAACACGAAAGCTATGAAATATGTAATTGGTATATACTGCCATTACATGACATATTTTCGTACACGATTGATGGTCCTGGTAGAGATATATGTACATACATCTACCTACCAAAATCCTCAAATGCATATATTAAAAGTGATTTGAAATTTAAGGAAGTCATAACAGGAAACTGAAAACATGTGGAACATGGATGTATAACAATTGCTAAATAAAAACATACGGATATAAAATACCTTTTACATTTCTGACATAAGAAAAACAAATGCTTCGACTGCTTCTGTTTTCTTAACCAAAGAAGAAAACTCTGACAGAAGCTCACCCCAAAAAGCAATTCTAACAATGACAAATCGGCATGCATGGATGGGATGAAGGAAGATATAGATGATTACTATACTTCTGGTAAGGAAATGGATTTCATTGTAAAGTGCAAAAGGTTACTGTTATAAATATTAAGTTGCAAAGAAAAACTATCTACCTGTAATTCTCATTCTCAGAAAGTGCTTTAACAGGGCGTCACTCTTGGGGCTGCACTCCAGAATGTCACAGGCAGGAACTTCCATAAAATGAGTATTTTAAAATGAATAAACCTCCTGACCAGCAGAAGTTGTGTGCCTATACTTGCTGAGAGGATAGTGTGATCCCTATTGTCTCCAACAAGTAGTTCCTTTTTTAAGCAAACAGTAGAAAGCTTAAAGAATGCAAATTGAACCCCCAACTCTGCAGGCAATGTGTGTGAGAGAGTGGGGATCTGTTATAATTATACACCTGTGTTTCTTCTTCTCAGAAAGGAAGTAATTTTCTTTTCTCCAAGTGGTGGTAATAATATACCTTTACTCTAGCAGACTAAAAATCTCAAGGGATGTCTCTATGAAAGCTGAAGTTGTAGCAATAAATTGCAACATGGGGAAACAGCAACATTCATGTTGGAAGTAGCAGTGAGAAAAAAATATCAGGGATAGAACAGTAATAAAGAAATAAGTTTTTGTATTTAACAAGTATGGAATAAAATCCCACAGCCAAACAAGTAAACAGTGACAACCAGGGGAAAAAAAACCTGAAGTGAACTAGAGGAGTGGGAGAGTTGGGCTAATCTCAGCTCCAAAATAGGTCCTGTAGCACTATTAGGCAACTCTTGGATTAATGACCTTATGGAGAGCCAGGCAATAAAGCTTTCAGAGAACTCCAAGTGTCTACCCTGCAAATCACCCGGGAAGGAATGATTAGAGGCTGGCTCTGAACATTCTCCATCATGTAGCTGAGTTGTGATGGCTATTAGATTTGTCTGAGCCACAAGAGACATCACTGCCAGTTGAGCTGGAAAATCAGCCCCCAGACTCTTGATGAGCCACAATGACTGACCTTGCAGGAAAGGGCTGACTACTTTGCAGATGTCAAAATGCTGTGATGGGAGTTAACTTAACAGACCTGCACCAAAATGGGTACTGCTGACACAATTTTGATGGCCATTTGGGTCACTTAGAACTTGTCCACTGATGTCTTATGGGCCATCATGTCATTGGTTTTAGCAGAAATTTCAGAATAGGCTAACTGAGTCTTGACGTACAACCTTCAGCCAGGGACATTGGGATGGTGATCCCACAGCAAGCTGAGTCATGATTTCTCCTAAACCCTATGTCATGTTCACCAGGGATCTCTTACAACCAGGGCCGGCTCTAGGCACCAGCAAAACAAGCTGGTGCTTGGGGCGGCACATTTTTAGGGGCGGCATGGCCAGCGCCAGAATGCCACCCCTAAAAATGTGCCCCGGCCGCCCTAGTTCACCTCTGCTGCTGCCGCCGCTCGCGCACCACTGCTCCCCCTCCCTCCCAGGCTCTCAAACCTGGGAGGGAGGGGGAGATCCCGAGCGGCCGCGGCGCGCGTAACAGCTGATTCGCGTGCCGCTGCTCCCACTCCCTCCCAGGTTTGAGAGCCTGGGAGGGAGGGGGAGACTCCGAGTGGCCGCGGCGCGCGCGCCGCTTCTCCCCCTCCCTCCTAGGCTTGAGAGCCTGGGGGGAGGAGGCAGGGCTGGGGATTTGGGGAAGGGGCGGAGTTGAGGCGGGGTCGGGGGGTGGGGTAAGAAAAAAAAGGGGGGTGTGGCCAAAATTGATTTTGCTTGGGGCGGCAAAAATCCCAGAGCCGGCCCTGCTTACAACCATATTCAAGGTATGGCTTTTACCTGCTGGTTGCTCCTCACACAGTCTGATAAATAAAGGAGAAAACCATAGCAACAGTAACAATAATATACAGCAGCAAATTCAAACAAGGGCCTCGTGGGACACTCAGACCAACTTGTTTCCTGTGATACACACAATCATTTGTTTTTGGATAAATATTATCCTGACAATGGCAGAGAAAGGGGATGGGGAGAAGAGAGAAAGTCTTGGAAATTGACAAACTGGAAAAACAGAGGGCTCCGCTGTTGTACACTGGTAGCAGCAGCCCATAAAAGTCACTCTGTTATGTGCACTGAAACGGTAACTAACAGGTAGGGACATACGGAGCTGCTTGAACCCTCTCAGTGGCAGCATACACACAAACACCTTCTCTGGCAAGGCAGGTTAAGAGCATCACAATGCTATATCTAATGACATTCCCATTATTCGCACAGAGGGAAGACAAGGCTGGGAGTGAAGATCTATTTTAATATGTACCATTTAGAGCAAAACACATTTTAAGAGTGTCTCATTTATGGATCTCGTGTTCACTCATCCACTCCCCTCTTAGTAACCCACCTTATGGCCAAGAAGGGTTGGCCTCAGTTCTCTTGGGAGCCTGTTAATTCTACTTCAAGTGCTATCTAGAAGGGTTATTCAACAGTGAAGCAAAGTATTCCTCCTTCCTCACTGGCCTCGGGGCCAAGCCTGCTGCCTCCCCAGTGTTTGAGAGAGAAGTCTCAGGAACATGGCTTGATTCCCCCTATGATGTACTGCTGGGGATGGAGTCCCTTTTAAGTTTCACTGTCCACGTCACTGTTCTCTAACATGACAGCTGGCCATTACCTCACTTTCGTTGCAACAGAAGATGTCGGAATGGGTGTAAAATTGTGGATCTAGTTCAGCATGAGCTGGAGCAGGATTAAATAAGGTCTTCACTGCAACAGAATGGAAAAAGTTGTCTAAATCAATGGCATTTTTGCATAATACATTTGCAAACCACTGCCTGGAACCCCAAACTCCCTATTGGGGCTAATACATTTCAGCTCCTCGTCTTCTCCCCACAGATAAGCAAACTACTCACAGACACAAAAAACCCAGAAAACCCCTGTTTTTTCATTTTACAAAGTATTTAACCATTTTCTTAATTGTAGTACAGAAAAATATATAACCCCCCCAAATTGATATTCATTCATCTGCTTGTAGGGGGAAATGAGAGGAGAGCAATACGCAAGATTCAAACTGTATTCAAAAGTTTTTTTAACTAAAAATTTCTAAATTTAGATATCTAATATAAATCATTTCATTTGTGGAGTGTCTTTCCTCTGAGCATTTACTAACATGAGCTTTACTAACACTGATTTATCCTCAGAACTTCCTGGGAGGAAGGTAAGCATTGTAATCTTCATTTTACACATGAGGAAACTGGGACACAGAGTGACGAAGGCTTTGTCTAGACTACAATTTTAAAGTGTTAGGAGCTGTTAGCTAACGTTCCAACACTAGTATAGCTGGTGGAGATGATATCTTGGTTAAAACCTGTCAAAGTGTGTTAGCTAATACCTCCTAACAACTTGCCTTTAAACTTACTCTAGACAAAGCCTCAGGCCTCGTCTACACTAGAAAAGGTTTGCCATATCAGTAGAGTGTAAGTGACTTACCCAATGTAACACAGAAATCTATGAATTCCTTGCTCCGCCAATCTCCTGGTTAGTACATCTGTTCCTTAGCTATAAGATCATCCTTTCTTCCATATGAAACATAATCTCTTAGATTAGAAATTTACTTATATTCAGTGACAAAAGTTTTCAAACTTGCAAGTCTGGCTCTTAAATCTATATTTAGGCACCTGCGCATAAGCAGCCTGAATTTCAGACACGCCAGCACTTATGAATCCCATTTATTTGAACAGAAGCCTCAGGTGATCAGAAACTTCAGGAATATGAATAAATAGGAATATAGAAGCTGAACTTTAGACACTCAGATTTGAAAATTTAGGCCACTGACTATTTTTCAACTTCACAATTCCTCTCTATCTTCTTATCATTTGAAAACGCTGCTGCAGACAAAACAACTACATTACAAGAACATTACTGAAGTTGCAAAACCAAGCACTCAGAAGTTAGGAAATGCTAGAAGTAGGCTTGCCTGTGCAGCCTTAATTCAGCCCCCTTGTGCATCTGATTTATGATACAGGCCTGGTCTACACTACGAGTTTAGGTCGACTTTAGCAGCGTTAAATCAAATTAAGCCTGGACACGTTCACACGACGAAGCCCTTTCTTTCGACTTAAAGGGCCCTTTAAACCGGTTTCTTTACTCCACCTCCGACGAGGGGATTAGCGATAAAATTGGCCTTAGCGGGTCGGAATTGGGGTAGTGTGGACGGAATTCGACGTTATTGGCCTCCGGGAGCTATCCCACAGTGCTTCATTGTGACCGCTCTGGACAGCACTCTCAACTCAGATGCACTGACCAGGTAGACAGGAAAAGCCCCGCGAATGTTTGAATTTCATTTCCTGTTTGCTCAGCATGGAGAGCACAGGTGACCATGCAGAGCTCATCAGCACAGGTAACCGTGATGTAGTCCCAGGATCGCAAAAGAGCTCCATCATGGACCGAACGGGAGGTACGGGATCTACTCGCCATATGGGGAGATGAATCAGTGCTAGCTGAACTCCGTAGCAGTAAACGAAATGGCAAAATATTAGAAAAGGTCTCCAAGGCCATGAAGGACAGAGGCCATAACAGCAGTGCCGCGTGAAAATTAAGGAGCTAAGGCAAGCCTACCACAAAGCCAGAGAGGCAAATGGAAGGTCCGGGGCAGAGCCGCAAACATGCCGCTTCTACGCGGAACTGCATGCCATGCTAGGGGGTGCAGCCACCACTACCCCAACCGTGTGCTATGACTCCCTCACTGGAGAAACACACAGGGAAGCAGGTTCGGGGTACGAGGAAGATGAGGATGAAGATAATGTAGATAGCTCACAGCAGCAAGGAAGCGGAGAAACCGGTTTCCCCAACAGCCAGGATATGTTTATCACCCTGGACCTGGAACCAGTAATCCCCGAACTCACCCAAGGCGTGCTCCCAGACCCTGAGGGCACACAGGGGACCTCTGGTGAGTGTACCTTTGTAAATATTACACATGGTTTAAAAGCAAGCGTGTTTAATGATTAATGATTAATTTGCCCTGGCAATCGCGGCCAGTACAGCTACTGGAAAAGTCTGTTAACGTGTATGGGGATGGAGCGGAAATCCTCCAGGGACATCTCCAGAAAGCTCTCCTTCATGTACTCCCAAAGCCTTTGCAAAAGGTTTCTGGGGAGGGCTGCCTTATCCCGTCTGCCATGGTAGGACACTTTACCATGCCAGGCCAGTAGCACGTAGTCTGGAATCATTGCATAACAAAACATGGCAGCGTATGGTCCCGGTGTTTGCTGGCATGCAGACAACATCCATTCCTTATTGCTCTTTGTTATCCTCAGGAGAGTGATATCATTCACGGTCACCTGGTTGAAATGGGGCGATTTTATTAAGGGACATTCAGAGGTGCCCCTTCCTGCTCGGCTGAACAGAAATGTTCCCCGCTGTTAGCCACACAGTGGGGGGGAGGGGTGAAGTGATCATCCCCGATAATTGGGTGTGGGGGGGAGGGGGCTTAGTTGGGTTTGTGCTGCATGTTAACCCGGAAACCGCAGCCCCTCCTTTTACATTGCAAACCCATTTTAAATGGCCAACCCAACGGGTGCTTGGTATGGGAAATGAGGGCGCTACTGTTTGAAACCATTCCCACATGTTAAGAAGGTTAAAAAAGCCAAAAGACTGTGGCTTACCATGGCTGCCTGCAAGCCAAAATCTGTTGCCTGGCACTGCGTGAGTGATCTCTCACACCAAACCGGCAGGCCCTCAATATAAGAGGAAAAATGCGACCTTGTAATGAAAGCACATGTGCTGTGTAATGTGAACAGCAAAATTTAACGTGAAAGAGTGTACCCATTGTTCTCTAAAATGTGTCTTTTTTAACCACCTCTCCCTTCTCCTCCACCAGCTGCAAATGTTTCTCCTTCACAGAGGCTAGTGAAGATTAGAAGGAGAAAACGGCGGACTCGGGATGATATGTTCACGGAGCTCCAGATGTCCTCCCACGCTGAAAGAGCACAGCAGAATGCGTGGAGGCAGTCAATGTCAGACTACAGAAAAGCACAGTATGAACGAGAGGAGAGGTGGCAGGCTGAATCGCGGGATGAACAGAGCAAGTGGCGGGCTGAAGATGATAGGTGGCGTCAGCTTGCTGACAGAAGGCAGGAGTCGATGCTCCGGCTGCTGGAGCATCAAACTGATATGCTCCAGCGTATGGTTGAGCTGCAGGAAAGGCAGTAGGAGCAGAGACCGCCGCTACAGCCCCTGTGTAACCAACAGCCCTCCTCCCCAAGTTCCATAGCCTCCTCACCCAGTCGCCCAAGAACACGGTGGGGGGGCCTCCGGCCACCCAGTCACTCCACCCCAGATGATTGCCCAAGCATCAGAAGGCTGGTCTTCAATAAGAGTTAAAGTTTTAAACTGCAGTGTGTCCTTTTCCTTCCCTCCTCCCACACCCATCCCGGGCTACCTTGGCAATTATCCCCCTAATTGTGTGATGAATTAAAAAAGAATGCATGAATGTGAAGTAACAATGACTTTATTGCCTCTGCAAGCGGTGCTCGAAGGGGGGAGCGGAGGGTGGTTGGTTTACAGGGAAGTAGAGTGAACCGGGTGGGGGTGGGGCGGAGGGTTCATCAAGGAGAAACAAACAGAAGTTTCACACCGTAGCCTGGCCAGTCACAAAACTTGTTTTCAAAGCTTCTCTGATGCGCACCGCGCCCTGCTGTGCTCTTCTAACCGCCCTGGTGTCTGGCTGCGCGTAATCAGTGGCCAGGCGATTTGCCTCAACCTCCCACCCCGCCATAAATGTCTCCCCCTTACTCTCACAGATATTGTGGCGTGCACAGCAAGCAGCAATAACAATGGGGATATTCTTTTCGCTGAGGTCTGAGCGAGTCAGTAAACTGCACCAGCGCGCTTTTAAACGTCCAAATGCACATTCCACCACCATTCGGCACTTGCTCAGCCTGTAGTTGAACAGGTCCTGACTACTGTCCAGGCTGCCTGTGTACGGCTTCATGAGCCATGGCATTAAGGGGTAAGCTGGGTTCCCAAGGATCACGATAGGCATTTCAACATCCCCAACGGTTATTTTCTGGTCCGGGAAGAAAGTCCCTTCCTCCAGCTTTCGAAACAGACCAGAGTGCCTGAAGATGCGAGCATCATGTACCTTTCCCGGCCATCCCACGTTGATGTCGGTGAAACGTCCCTTGTGATCCACCAGGGCTTGCAGCAGCATTGAAAAGTACCCCTTGCGGTTTATGTACTCGGTGGCTTGGTGCTCCGGTGCCAAGATAGGGATATGGGTTCCGTCTATCGCCCCACCACAGTTTGGGAATCCCATTGCAGCAGAGCCATCCACTATGGCCTGCACGTTTCCCAGAGTCACTACCCTTGATATCACCAGGTCTTTGATTGCCCTGGCAACTTGGATCACAGCAGCCCCCACAGTAGATTTGCCCACTCCAAATTGATTTCCGACTGACCGGTAGCTGTCTGGCATTGCAAGCTTCCACAGGGCTATCGCCACTCGCTTCTCAACTGTGAGGGCTGCTCTCATCCTGGTATTCTGGCGCTTCAGGGCAGGGGAAAGCAAGTCACAAAGTTCCAAGAAAGTGCCCTTACGCATGCGAAAGTTTCACAGCCACTGGGAATCATCCCACACCTGCAGCACAATGCGGTCCCACCAGTCTGTGCTTGTTTCCCGGGCCCAGAATTGGCGTTCCACAGCATGAACCTGCCCCAGTAACACCATGATTTGCACATTGCTGGGGCCTGTGCCTTGTGAGAGGTCT